TACAGAGTGGAAGGGATCAACGGGGAAAAGGGGGGACATTTGTAATACTTTCAACAATAAAGATATATTTAAAAAAATAAAACAAAACAAAAACCACGAAAGTAAAACAGCTGGCTGGGAGGTGGCCATTTTTTTGAGCTATGGGATCAGGGAGAAGCTTTTCTCTATCTTTAGGACTTTCCAGTATGTCCCAGGTCAGCTGCTATCTCTCTCAGGGCTGAGCTGGCTGCTCTAACTGATGTGGCAAGTGCCCCTTTGCCCCTCCCCCTCAGGGGACACCTCCTCCTGATGGGCTCACTCAGATACAAGGGGAAGGCCCACAGAGAAGAAGACCACTCTGCAGTCAAGAATATGTTTGAGAGACAATGGGTAGACTCTGAGAAAAGAAACATATGAAGACGCTTCCAAAAAGCCACCTCTCTAGTACCAGCTTTTAAAGTCACAATGAGCTGCTAAAAGGCCATGGTCAGAGAGAGTGAGGCCTCAGCCTTGGGGACCCATACCTGCCACAGTCACATTAGAGGCTCCCCATTGGAACTGCCGACTTAGATCTAGTAGCCATGTGGTAAAAAAGGCAAAGGGAAATTGAAAGAGAAATACAAGTGATAAGAAGCTAGGAGTTTAAGCGGCCTTTTCTGGCCCCATAACTCACTCACCTCATACAGCCCCTCAAAGAAAGTGTTCTTGTCCTCGGTGCTCCATGACTCCCACTGCCGCCGGACCTTTTTGCCTTCTTCCTTCTCACCACCAGAAGATCCTAAGTTCCGGGAGGAGGAGCGAGAGGCCCCTGCAGGGGCCGCAGGGGCAACCCCAGGCCCACTTCCAGATGATGATCCGCCACCATCAGCTCCTTCGAGAGAAAGAACTGTACAGTGATCTGTTCCAGGAAGCTGGAGAGGCTTGGGAAGGCCCTGCTCCACATTCCTCAACTGCTGAGGCTACAGTGGGACAGCACCTGGGACCTACTGTGTGCCTAATGGGACTGTTCAGTAATGACATCTTCGTGACTCCTTCAAATGTTTTTAGTTAAAAAAAGGGAGAAAGAACATTTAGGGAGAATCATTTAACGAGCACAATGATAATGTCCACGATGGAGGTATACAACTCTTTCCCCTCTGTGAACTAAAACCAAACATCACATTCCATAGTGTCTTTTTCAAGTGAGGGTTTGGCTGAAATAATTCTTATCTTTTCAAATAAACAAACTGAAGTTTCAAACTCAAGAAAACATTTAAATGGGTGTGAAAAGCACTGCCTCCTTTTAGATATTAATACTTTAGAACATGAATCATTTGATCCCTAAGAATCTGTAAAAAGTCTCAGAACTCTTTTTTCAGCTTTCAGCTCAAAGGAGGCCTAGGTGTAAATTTCTTCGGTTGCCCAGAATCTGGGTTCATCCTACACTAGCTGCCTCCACCATGGCGCTAAAGTTCGACCCCAACAAGATCAAAGTCGTATGCCTTAGGTGCACCAGTAGGGAAGTCAGTGCCACATCTGCCCTGGCCCCCAAGATCAGTCCCTTGGGTCTGTCTCCAAAACCGGTGTGATGACATAACCAAAGCAACAGGTGATCAGAAGGGTCTGAGGATTACAGTGTTCAGGACAAACAGGCCCAGATTGAGATAGTGCCTTTTGCCCCTGCCCTGATCATCAAAGGCCCCAAAGAACTACTATGAGACAGAAAGAAGCAAAAAACATTAAACACAGTGAAAATATCACTTTTGATGAGATCGTCAACACTGCCTCACAGGTGTGACACTGATCTTTAGCTAGAGAACTCTCTGGAATCATTAAAGAGATCCTGGGGACTGCCCAGTGTTGATGGCCATCACCCTCATAACATCATAGATGTTATCAACAGCAGTGCAGTGGGGTGCCCAGCTAGTAAAGAACTACAAAATGAAATATTTCAATTAAAGATCATTTGACAGACACAAAAAAACACCTTTTGACAAAAAAAAAAGTCTTAAAACTCCTTTTTCTTGATCAATTTCCACCAGCAAAATCTGGTGTTCAGAGAGTGAGCCTACCATTTTGCAAATGCTTTTAAAGCATCAGTTCCTAATCTCAAGATGAGACCTTAAAAACCATGCTGAAGGGGGAAAGTGCCATCAAGTACAACACAGGGCTTCCATGCTGTGCAGTAAACCAAGAACTCTGTACTCCTAGGACAATGGAGGCAATAAACAAGAGCTAAAGGTCACAGATAAAAAATGTTTATGACCTAACCAAATGCTCCCACCCATCGAGTTCCTTCCTCTCAGAGGGAAGGAGGACTCCCAAAGTATCCCGGTGATAACCAGCATTTTCTTTCCACAGAACTGCAGGACCACCAAATGGAGACAAACCTTCAAACTCTGAACGAGAGTAAAAAAAAGATTATAAAAATAAAAATGCGTTAAAAAGCAAAAGCCAAACAAATGTAGATTATTGTTAAGATGTTTTTCTAATGAGATAATCAAGAGCTTTTCCAGTGAGATTCACTTCTTGGTCTATCTGCTTGGCCCTCCCTGGGCAGCTACGTGCAGACTGGGGCCACGTTTCCCTCACTTCCTCCACGGAGATCTACCTTCAAAGGATGAAAGAAAGACAAGCCGTTGTACACAAAAAATCATCAGAAATAAAAGAAATGAAAAATGAAAAGCCCGCTGACCCATGTAAGCTTTCAAAGACTGTCCCTGGAAAAAACAAGACATTGGTGCAGGGGCTGCCTGGCGGACAGTGGGAAGGAGAGTGACTCTCCGCTGCTACACTTTTCAAAGTGTGTACCATGAATCTGTCACTATGTCAAAACAGGGAGCATTCAAAAACATTTAATCCCATGTGTTTTCATACATGCTGAAAGAATTACTCCTTTGATTCTTTTGTGTGGACAGGTGTATCAGTTTAGTGACAGATGACTTCCTAAGGCAGTGATTTTCGACCTTTTTCATCTCATGACACATGAACTAATTACTAAAACTGTGGCACACCAAAAAATACATTTTTTGCTGATCTGACCAAAAAAAGGTATAATTTTGATTCATTCACACAGGACAGCTACTATGTTGGCTGTTATTTTTTTATTTGACAATCTAAGGGAAAAGAGGTCAGTGTCCCTGACTAAACAGTCAGGTATTGCATGTTTTAAAAATTCTTGCAGCACACCGGTTGAAAATCGCCGTCCTAAGCCCTAGCCGATTTGGCTCAGTGGTCAGAGCATCAGCCCATGGAATGAAGGGTCCCGGTTTGATTCTGGCCAAGGGATGTACCTCGGTTGCAGGTTTGATCCCTGGCCCCAGTCAATCCCCGGCCCCAGTCGGGGCATGTGCGGGAGGCAACCAATCGCTGTGTCTCTTTCACATCACTGTTTCTATCTTTCTCTCTCCCCCCTTTCCACTCTGAAAGGCAATGGAAAAAATATCCTCCAATGAGGATTAGAAAAAAAAAAGAAAATAGCTGTCCTAAAGTAACATCACTACATAGCAGAAATCATCGGTTTATTAGAGCTATACTGTCCAGTTCAACAGCCACTAACCACATGAGGCTAATTAAATTTAAAGATTACTTAAAATTGCCTGGCTGGGCATGGCTCAGCGGTTGAGCATCGACCTAGGATCCAAGAGATCGCTGTTCAATTCCCAGTCAGGGCACATGCCTGGGTTATGGGCTCGAATCCCAGCCGGGGGCGTGCAGGAGGCAGCCGATCAATGACGNAAAGACTGTCCCTGGAAAAAACAAGACATTGGTGCAGGGGCTGCCTGGCGGACAGTGGGAAGGAGAGTGACTCTCCGCTGCTACACTTTTCAAAGTGTGTACCATGAATCTGTCACTATGTCAAAACAGGGAGCATTCAAAAACATTTAATCCCATGTGTTTTCATACATGCTGAAAGAATTACTCCTTTGATTCTTTTGTGTGGACAGGTGTATCAGTTTAGTGACAGATGACTTCCTAAGGCAGTGATTTTCGACCTTTTTCATCTCATGACACATGAACTAATTACTAAAACTGTGGCACACCAAAAAATACATTTTTTGCTGATCTGACCAAAAAAAGGTATAATTTTGATTCATTCACACAGGACAGCTACTATGTTGGCTGTTATTTTTTTATTTGACAATCTAAGGGAAAAGAGGTCAGTGTCCCTGACTAAACAGTCAGGTATTGCATGTTTTAAAAATTCTTGCAGCACACCGGTTGAAAATCGCCGTCCTAAGCCCTAGCCGATTTGGCTCAGTGGTCAGAGCATCAGCCCATGGAATGAAGGGTCCCGGTTTGATTCTGGCCAAGGGATGTACCTCGGTTGCAGGTTTGATCCCTGGCCCCAGTCAATCCCCGGCCCCAGTCGGGGCATGTGCGGGAGGCAACCAATCGCTGTGTCTCTTTCACATCACTGTTTCTATCTTTCTCTCTCCCCCCTTTCCACTCTGAAAGGCAATGGAAAAAATATCCTCCAATGAGGATTAGAAAAAAAAAAGAAAATAGCTGTCCTAAAGTAACATCACTACATAGCAGAAATCATCGGTTTATTAGAGCTATACTGTCCAGTTCAACAGCCACTAACCACATGAGGCTAATTAAATTTAAAGATTACTTAAAATTGCCTGGCTGGGCATGGCTCAGCGGTTGAGCATCGACCTAGGATCCAAGAGATCGCTGTTCAATTCCCAGTCAGGGCACATGCCTGGGTTATGGGCTCGAATCCCAGCCGGGGGCGTGCAGGAGGCAGCCGATCAATGACGACTCTCTCATCATCGATATTTCTATCTCTCTCTTCCTCTCTCTAAAATCAAGATATATTTTTAAAAATTACTTAAAATTAAATAAAACAAAAACTCAGTTCCTCAGTCACACCAGCCACATGTCCACAGGTTGCTAGTGGCCACTGTGCTGGACAGCAAAGAACATTTCCATCATGGCAAAAAGTGCCACAGCCAGTGCTATATTTGAATGCTTGACATTCACAGTCCTAAACACACTGTAGTAGAGCAAATGATAAGTTAAATATTCTACACCCTAGCCTGCTTTCTTTCCAGCTGCCCCTTCCCATCCCACATGCACGTGTAATAAAAACGTAACCCAGGTAACCTTTGTGCTAGAGTGGGCTAAGGAAGTACTGGATAGACAATATGACTGTCCATTCCTCACCAAACCAAACCTGAAACGTGACCTAAATGGGGACCCTGGTATTTCGCATGATGTTTTCAACAGGTATGGCAACTTCAGAGCACATTTCCAGGGATAACTACTACAGTTTCATTCCATTTCTAGTAGGTCTGAGGTGCTTTTGCTGGGAACTGAAGACCAAGTTACAGATGCCATTTTAAAAAACCACTCTTAAAAATAAGAAATTCTGGTTGACTTGAAGAGCGCAATTCCTCACCTTTAGTCATGTCAAGAAGGGCTGCCTGTCCACCTCAGCATCACCCACAACAAAGAATCTCAAGAGTCATTTTCACTTATAACGAAACACTCATTAAACTCTTTTTCCAAAACAACAGCAACTTGCTAATGAGCTTCACAGTCACAGCTCTGGTTTACCTTTGCTGACCCATGCTTGCATTAGATGTACTCAAAAGTAATAGACATGTATCCTTGACAATTCTATAATGCAGCTATCTTGCTAGCTCTGGTGAGATTTTACCAGTTCTCAGCACTGGTGACCCAAGACAAGGAGAATAAATGGTGAAGGAAATCAGACTAGAAGCATTTCAGAGCTGGAAGGGACATCAGGGGTAGAGTGCAGGATAAACCAAAACTGTGGATGTGAAAGAAAATGCAATAGTCAAAGCAGCTGTGCCAAGATACACGAGGCAGCAAACCAGGCCTCAGAGCAGCCAGACACTCTCGCTGGCCAGAGGCCGTAAT